ACAGGCATACGCTGACGCTGATTGGGCTAGTTGTCCTGATAGTAATCGGTCTACTTCAAGCTTTGCTATATTTTTGGGTCCTAATTTAGTCTCGTGGAAGTCCAAGAAGCAGCCCACTGTCCCCCAATCTTTCACATAAGCTGAATATAGGGCTATTTCTTACACGGTCCAAGATACTCTCCATATTCATTCCATGCTGTTCGAATTGGGGGTTCCTATTCGCCAACCAATTAAGTTACTTTGTGATAATGTTTCTGCTTCATATTTGTCCACGAATCCTATTCAGCATACCTGGAGCAAGCACATCAATACTGATTATCATTTTGTACGTGAGAGAGTTTCGCATGGAGATATAGTTGTTCGTGGTGTTCCTACACTTTTTCAGTTAACATGTATTTTTAAAAAATAATTATCTCCTTAGCGTTTCATTTTTCTTAGAGACAATCTGCGCATTGTTTCCCTGCACATACTGAGATGGTGCAATAGTTTAATTAATACTTTAATTAGGTTTTCTATATTTAGTAAGTTTCCTAATGTATTCAGGACACTTATTTATTATATACTAGTTTTCCACCCGTGCGTTGCACGGGTATTTAAATTTTAGTGATTTTGATTTCTAATTTAAGTACATGTATTATAAATTTATATGATATATGAGTCATATTTTGTGTTTTACTATGAGAGTGTATGTAATGCAGAAAGATCGATCATAAACGTCATAATAAAACATGAATTTTAATATTTTATTCACTTGTATGGAATACGAAAAAGCGTTTACAAATTATTGAACACTTCCTTATACACTACATTAAGTGTAGAATTGCTAGGCTCGCCGTTATCATCGCATATCATGAATTTTAATCCTGATGGATTTGTAACCCTAGATACCGCCACATACAGCTGACCATGAGTAAAGACCGGACGACGTAAGAAGATGCCTACTCTTTCAAGCGACTGACCTTGACTCTTGTTGATCGTCATCGCGTAACTAACCACCAATGGTAATTGCCTACGTTGAAACATGAATGGCAATCTAACATCGGATGGTGTAAGTGTCAGCCTTGGAATATACACCTTCTTACCCGCATTTGTCCCGGTTAATATTTGAGCCTCAATAATATTATCTCCAAGTCGGGTCACAATAAGTCGAGTGCCATTGCATAACCCCGAAGAGAAATCAATATTTCTCATGAGCATGACAGGTACACCTACCTTCAACCTGATTTCATGGGCCGGAACTCCAGAACAGCGTATTCCATTGAGGAATTCAGGTGAATGGATCTCGTCAAGAAGGTTGTTTTCAGAATCAAAAGAGGATGCTGAATCACTGCTTAGATAGATCTTCTCCTCGGAAGTATTTAAACTCAACATGTAATTATTTATCATGTCTACATCCTCTATTGTTGGTGCAAGAATGGCTCTAGAAGTCAAATAAGAAGGATTTGTTCCGTTTTCCAAGAAATCGGGGTATGTACACCTCACAATAGATTCTATAGGATTAGATATGAAAGGAGCAAGAAAACTTTGAGGTATTTCAATCATTGATTCACCATCTTCATCGTCGCCAAGAACACCATCTCCAATTTGCAAGATCCAATCTGCAAAACTCTTCAAAACAGCAGAATTTTTGTCACCTGTAAGCCTCATGTTCTTTGTAAGTTTCAATACCTTACAAAATTGCCACAAGTAGGAAGAGTTCAAAGCTGCAAGTACAATATCTTGTCGACTGCCTTTCGGAATAACTGGTAATATTTGTCTAAAAATCACCGCCAAATACAACTGTTTTCCCACCAAAAGGTTTAGTAGCATCACATGTGACGGTGAATCGAAGGATGTCCCTCATAGTGCGATCAAGAGCTTCAAAGCAATACTTATTTGTCATTGGAGCCTCGTCCCAAATAATTAACCCTGCCATTTGAATTAACTTGGCCAATGCACTACCATGCTTGATGTTGCATGTTGAGTCTTCTGCCGCTGTCAGTGGAATAGCAAATCTAGAGTGTGCTGTACGTCCACCTGGAAGGAGAAGTGATGCAAGGGCACTGGATGCCACATTCAATACTATACCTCCACGAGATCTTACAGCTGCCGACAGAGTTCTCCACAAATATGTTTTTCCGGTACCACCATGACCATACACAAAGTAGATGCCGCCGTGATTTCCATTGATTGAAGCAATGAGTATGTCATAAACCTTGCGTTGTTCTTCAGTCATGTCTAGCAACAACTTGGAATGTTCCTCAGATAAAGCATCAACATCATACCTCATCTCTTCATGTATGAGGTTGTGTTCAAGAGAATCCATTTGAGAAACGGAAGGAAAAGGCATGTTTGCATAGTTGCGCAGAGACTTCCCTTTTTGTTGGAGAAGTTTTTCAACTTCTAGAAGAGCATAATTTTTAATTTGAGCTGCACTTAAATCCAACTCTGCAAGGCAATCAAATGATTTAGAATTTGATTTTAGTAGCTTGTTAAAAATAAGAATAAAATAGTACCAATAGTTATGCTTACCTTGATCATTGAGGTTCCTTCTTATGTTGTATAGTACATCATCTGATAAATCCTCCCAGCATTGCTCCCACACCAATTCCGGCTTTGAAAGTTCATCTGACGTCAGCAGGGTAACAAATAACTCACGGAGAGCGTGTGCAGATCCCCAATGACTTACTTGTTTAATGCAACCAATGTGATCTTTGTCATCCTGGAGCAAACCTCTTGCATAGCAAGCATCCTTGAATGTGGCATGAATAGTACCATTAACGGTCTTCAATTCCTCAAAACTGGTCGGTCCTCTAACCACATTGAGAAGCATTCTAAGGTAGTACTTCTCGCCTATGCCTGGACGAACAAAATAGAGTCTCCCAACTGCAAATCTCTTTTTCCTCGGTACCCACGTTTTTGATGTTTTTTTCCACGTGAATTTAGTAGGAAACTCAGAATATGTCAATAACTTGGCCTCGGGGTACATTTCATTTGCCTTCATCCAGGCTGTGAATTTGGTTGAGAGAACAGTAGCACGATTCAACACTGTGGCCGTGGATTCCCTTTCATTATAGAACACATTATGTTCTCCTGGGAGATGGAAGCTCAGTCGCTCAACTGCAATATCCCTATAATGAATAGGGAACCCAAAAATCCTCCAAGCAGCCTCACATGCTGAGACATATCGGCAGTCATAATACATCTTAATCTCATCAACTATTTGAGATTTATTACTATCAGCATTCTCAGAGAATGCAACTGTTATCCTATCATTGCTCTTGTTTATATATTTGAAGAGATACTTTATTGAACGTGTCTGATTACACCATTCAACATTGATGTGGGCACCATACTTAAGTAATAACATGCGGTTATGCGGAATAACGAATCTATTGTCAAGAAGAATGTCACCTTTTGCCACAGTTCTACCATTCTGTCTTCTTCTATAGATTGGAAAACCGCTTTTATCGATGGTCGTTTGTTGTACAAACTTCTTCGGAAAGTATTTTGTGCAACGGTTCCCAACCATGCATGGCGATTTTTTGTTCAACAATCCACATGGGCCATGTATCATCAGCTCCTTCACCATGGTGTAATACTCTGGGTCACGTCTCTCATCCGGGATCTCGGCTGAAATTATCTTATCGATATATGTGGCCAAGACATATTTTTGTTTTTCATAAACCCACAATACTATATGTGCATGTGGCAGGCCTCGCTTCTGAAACTCCACTGTGTAAATGACTTTTACATGCATAAAAAAATACGATTTAAGAGATTTTTCAAAATAGTACATGTAATATTTTATGAAGATTTGTAGATTAAAATATTAATTAAGAATAGAAAAATATGTAATCTAAATAATACCTGCTTTCACTTCTCCAAATAACTTATTTTGTTTTAAATCCTTGATGAGTTGGTTGAGCTTAATTTTGAATATCCTACATAGGATATCGGGTCTATCATCTGGATTCAGCCCTCTTTCCCTGACGTAGCGTACAATCTCAGGCCACTTAGGGTTGCATGTAAATGTGATGAAAAGTTGTGGATATCCAGCCCACTTACAAATTGCCATCGCGTCCTGGTAGTTCTGGATCATGTTACGTGCACTACCTATGAACGAATTTGGTAGTACAATGAGCTGCCCTAGCCTAGATGTATTTGTTTCACCACGTCCAAGTGCATCAGCTAATCCACTGTACAACTCACTTCTCAACTGCTTTTGATTTTGTCTAATATAGGATAGACGTGATGACTCGATCATCGTATACCCATCAACCATAAACTGCTGAAACAATCGTTTGCATCTCAAAATGTAAGGGGATTCATTGTTACGCTCTTGAAGCCTGTATGAAAAGAACTCTTTCATGGTAACATGCTTTCTTCCATCTGTTGGACGTGTTAAGAGAAAATTTTTTCGAAACCCATCCTGGCCATATGGAAATAAAAGTGGATATTGCAAGCCAAGAAAAGAGGGATTCAACTCTGAAATAAACTGTAAGTCACCAGACTTCGTCTCAATAAGCACATCCCTCTCCTGTTTATTAATGTCGAAGTCCCCCTCAATTAGTGCTGCAACCTCATGTACACTTGGAGTATTATATGTACGTCCATCTGAATTTCTCTTTCCAATTAGCTTCATTTTCAATGACGTGCAATTTGTGTCATTGAATCTATCCCTCGCCATCCTGAATGATTTTGCATGAACATTATAGGTGTCAAGCATATCTCTCAAGTCTGACACGAGTGTTTCATGTAATTGGGTTCCACCTTCACCCCTATATTTTTGACACAAAAAGTAAAGTAAATTAAACTTTTGCAATGCAAACATAGAAGCAATGTATAATTGATTTAGCAAGTCTCATTTAATTACCTCACCGATTGCACTCGGTATGAAATCTCTTCATGTGGGTCTGATAAGTACATTTGCAAGAATTTAGGTTGTTTCCCATCAACCGGTAAAAGACTACCAATCCTATGATAGTTTTGCCCATTCAACCTAAACACTCGAGGTGCTCTTCCATCATTTATTTGTGTATCTATTTTTCCACCCATTGAAGTGAATGAGAACATGGAGTTATAAGAACGAATGTTCTCTAGAAAATGCCTACTACGCTCATCAAGTCCGAATATCAATCCTTCTAATAAACATGGAGGTTCTTTCATAGGAGGGAGGACAACATTCCCTTTATTACAACACATGGTGAAAATTGGTCTGTGAGAAGCAGTTGTTTTTGCTAACTTTTCAGCATGCCAAAATATTGCATCACAGAATTCACATGTAAAAGTAGCATCACCAAGATCTAGAAACGCTGTAACACAGTAGATACTTTTAGTGACTTTATAAAGTTAAATACAATGAGTTAGTACATAATTCCACACTCATAAGTAAATAAGAAAAAACTCATTCAGTTAATACTACTAACAAATAATTAGCATTACAAAGTTAGGTCTTAAAGGTGAGTGCAACAATAAGAGTAGTGACATGTTTTAAAATGATTGGAATCCTATTTTAGTTTCATTGATTAGTAAAAAATGATTATTTTACTTCGTAATTAGTAAAACGTAAAATTGAGTGAATAACTTATGACACATATAATTAACTGGCACAGTCGTATACACTTATACATCATTTTTCTTCTATAATACATCTATAGAATATGTCCATGAATAAATAGATATTTTAAATTGATTTAGTAGCTTTCACATTTATATAAGTAATCAAGTGAAGAAAGTAAATATGTGATGTCTATTGAATTTTTTACAAAGAACTATTAGTGTAAGTCTGATTTATATATAATTTGAAAAAATCAAAATATATAATCAAAAGAAATGTAGCAGGAAAAAATCTGTCATAATGACTATTACTGTATTCAAATGTCACATCATAGTGAATATGTTTTTTACATGCAGTAACTTATATATATTCAACTTTGATCCATTGATTTTTATTAGTAATGTTTTAGGAGTAACCTCCTTGAAGTTTTATAAAATATTTGAATGTAAATACTAATAAATACAACTTAAGTGTGTCTGTAAATGTATATAGGAATCGTAAATAATATAAATAAATTAAATAATATTTATCCACTACTTTTACATTTTAATCCACTTCGTGTCAGTAAAAGTTACTAATTTATGTTTTTATCCACTATTTTTATTTTAATGTAATTACATTTGAGACCTATATTTCTTTATTTTTACACGAATAATGTTACATTTGTACTCATGTAATCCAATCAAGTTTAAGAAACTTGATGATAGGAAATTATAAAAAGTTACACTCATAAAAACACTATATAATGTGAAGAGATTAATAACACAAGGTCCAAATCATTGAGATCGTGTGGGATTCCTGAATCAATAATAATTCAATAAGAGAAGTTGTGCATTAAAATTTAAATGAATAATAAAATTTTTAATGTAGCTATAAGTATTTATTTTATTAGTTACAATTAACTTCAGTAGTCAACAATCTCATATTTATCCAATAAATAGTAATATGTACTCCCTCTGTTTCATAGAGAGATTTCCATTTTCCTGTTTGGACGACCCATAGGGAGGTTCTCTTTTTCATGTTAGGGAAAAATTACAAATCTAAAATGACAAATTGAATATTAAATATTAAAAAAACTACATTTACAACATAAAAGTTATCAACATTAACCTCATTATATTATAAACCTATTGAAATTATATATTTCTTAAAACATACTCCAACTACTTTATTTAATTCTGGTTTGAATAACTACATCATTGTGCCATGAGAGAATTTCAAAGGGACCCAAATAGTATAAATTAAGTTTATAAGAAGTGACATTTTAAACTGATACAGTAACTTATATAAAATAATTTTTTTTTGGATAGGTCTACATTTTTTTAAACTGATAATGTTTTAATTGATTGATACTCAATGGAGTTCATTAGAGACATAAGTTGGTTAGAGAAATATTGGGCACTATATTAGTTAATGATATCACAAGATTATGATTTTATTGAAAGCATAAATGAAAGATGAAGATTATTCTCAGCTATTGTTTATTTAATTTTAAATGAATAGTATTAATTTGTAATGTGCATGGTCAAACCTATGTAATTAAATATGTATATATTAAATATACGTAGTAGTGTATAAAAAGTTGGAAGTAAATTTGGTATTACTGATTTCACTTTAAAATGAAGCCATGTATTATGTAAAAGATGGTGGCACCTTTATGTGAGCCTGCTTCATATTCAAAATCTTCATCTGCGTACAAATAAGATAAATAAACGGTATATTAATATAGTTATATGAAGTTTTAGAGATAAAAGATGTAATTGCGGCATCATTTGGTCACATACCTTCATATCCTATCACATCTTCATCACTTTCAAAATGATTTTCAAGTGTATCATCAATTTGAGCCTCTATATAAATAAATAACAACAAATCCTTGAAGTATACATAACTACTTAAATAGATGGCTGACATGGTAATATAATTGGAATAAATTAAAGTACGTCGTACCCACTGTACTTGTATGACCATCCGGAAATTCTGGAATCAAATTATTCGTGTGAATAATTTCCATTGTTGTTTCAGGGAGGCTTAGCTCACGTATCATGTCATCGATATCATTGTCATGAGTAGTAATTACCGGTTGACCTCCAGCGGTGTCATGTAACGATGAGCTTGTTGATGTAATAACTACGATATAAATTATCACATATTATACATTTATCATAGTGTTATGATTTATTAAGTATTTGGACTGTGTCAAGGTACTAAGGTAGTTACCATTAGTAATATCAACAAATGGATTTGTAGGCCAGTTGTGTTTCGAAGAAGGTGTTGTACCATCACACAACTTGGCTCTCTTAGAAGCAGCAGATCCATTTATTAATTGGTCTCTATTTCCATCAAGAGGATGTGCTCTTCCACGATAAATGATAGCTGATTTAGTTAGTTTTTGCATTATATCCTTGCCCTGTATGAAAGTACGTAATAAGTCATTAAATCTAAAAGTGTTAAAAAGGTTTAAAATTTTCTTTGAAATTGAAGAGAACAAATGTCCATTTTTATTTTTTTATTTTTTTGGCCATAAAACCATTAAATTTTTAAGAGATTTAGAAGACCCAATTTTTGGGATTAATTTTATGTTGCTAAAGAGAAATGATGATACTGCGTGAAATTTGGTACTACATACGTAGTATATAATAAGATTATAGATGTTTATTACACAGTTGAAGTAAATTAATGTATAGCTAGGCAATCAAAGTCTATCAACGAATGATTTAATTAATAGTTTAAAGACGTATGGAAATATAGTGACATATTATATACTCCGTATATTCTATTAATATTAAAGTATACTACGTATACTTTAGAGAAGGTTTAGAAATATCTGACATGTTATATTCTATTAAAGTATACTACGTATACTTTATATACTACGTATGAGAGAAGGTTTAGAAATATCTGACATGTTATATTCTATAAAGGATAATTTATGAGTTGAAAAATGAAATTGAACATAAAAGCAAAGGTACGTTGATGTGTTTTAATTGTTATATTGCTTAGTATATATAACCACAAAGGGTAATATAACATTATTGTTTGAGTATGTTCATAGATTTAGTTTTTTTTAAGACTAATTTTTTTTAGAAAAGGGATTTCATGGCAACAACGATACTTACAACAACGATGTCGCAGATTTCATGGCAATTGAGCTGATCCGGCCACAAAACTTTGGCATCCGCCAACCTAATGATTTGGACACGCTCCTATCCTCCTTAATTCCCAATATTGAACCGCATCATCATATAAGTCCTAGTGAGCCAAGTAGTGTACATATAATACATAACGTAACAACCAAAATTTAGTGAGTAGGAAAAATTTGTCAAAATTATATATATTCATGCTACATAACATCATCTACTTAAAGTATATCATTGAAAGCATTAATAGTTTGGAGACATATATGAAAGTATAGTAATACTTTTGAAGATGAGGACACATTAAAAAAATTGTATACAGAATTATTTGATAAGTGTGTTCATTGAGTAGAAAATAAGAACAAAATTGATGTCTTTTTATAGTTCTTAGTATCATCGATCACATATGATAATATAGAATTATAGTTTACGTATGTTCATAGTGATTTATTTATTATCATATCATTTTTACTATACTTACAACAACATTTGAAGTTGTTGATTTCATGACAAATGAGCCAATTTATTAAGAAAAATTTAGCATCCAGGCCACCAAACAAATTATCTGTACACTAAACTGCTATCCTACTTGGTGCATAATATTTAGCCACATCATCAGTTAAGTCCTACTTAGGCAAGTAGCATACATAAATGAACAAAAATTTGGTTACTAAGTAAAATTGACAAAAATAAATAATTATTCCTAATACTAAGTAGCATTTTAGCTTCTTAAATAAATAATGTTTTTTGTTCCGGGTCGGGCTTAAATTTTAGAACCCGAATTAAAGTCCAAGTTTTGGGCTCGAGCCGGGTATTTAACACGGACCTGTCATGTTTAAGATATAACCCGAAAGTATTACTCTCCAGATTTTATCACCATTGAATTTAAAAGCCGAATATAAAGTTTTAAAGGACGGATGTAGCAATAGTCTAAATTCTTTATGTTGAAAAGCAACGTATTTTATCTTGAAAACATAAGAAATGTACCATAATTTATGAATAGTAATTAGACTCGGTGAATACTAAGTATAGATAATATAGTTGGGGTGGGATCGAGTCAAGTTCGGTCGGGTTATGGCTAGGACCGTAAAAACAGTAATTTTTCGGGTTCTTCATTTTTGTGCCCGTTCGGAGGATCAATACGCTCAGGCTTGTTTGAGTTTTAATGGCCTCTAGTTTGGGTTGGGTTAGAGTCGGGTGGTGTTGAATGGGTCGGTTATCGAGTTTTAGGTCAGTTTTTTCCCACCCCTAAATATAGATGTTTCGAGATCAGGCAAAAAAAAAGTTCTTACCAGGGTGAACTTAAACGAATCATAACACAAATTATGGGATGAAATGAATCATTATGTCTTGTATTCTACCTGTGGAAAAAATAGTATGATTTAAATTGAACATAACATTACCTCGGTAGGATGTAGATTGGGGCAAATATGAAAGTCCGGAACTCCACACTTGGGGGTGGATTAAAAACATCCTACATGTGGACAGTAATATCCAAGTAACATATACAATACTATATAATACATAACAATAACAAAAAAGCATACAAAGAATAGCATAATAAGCCATTTGTCTGAAACTATTTACTACTGTATAATAGAAGAACGATGTATTTGTAAGTATGATAGAGGTTTTCATATGACCTTACCATTTGAACATATCCAGGAAATGAAATTAATAAAACAACACAGTACCTTTGTACATGGAGTGAAGTATGAAATTGGAGAACATCAAATACTGAGCAAGTTTAAAAACATCCTACAGCAAATCAATAATCAAGAATAGGAAAATAAAGTTGAATTTGAGCTGAAATGTAAAGATGAAAGGAAAAGTAGTTGTCCTTTTATAGTACTTAGTAAGGGCAGATAATACGGAATTACTCCATATTATTATTATTTAATATATATTATATATATATTATTATTTAATGTATATTTACTCATTGATTTCATTTCACTTCATATATCATATGTCATATATCATCATATATCATATATATCATAATAATACGCAAATCAGTTTGTGATTATATTATTGATAGTCCGTAATTAATTTGAGTGACCATAAAAGTGGCGTTGATATGAAGAATATGATGTTTTATTGTTTTGGAAACAATCACCGAACATGATTCTTTGGTTGTTGCTATGACACTCACAAAATCTGTACCAATTCGATATACTCTGTATTCCATATAAGCTCTCCTGACAAAGTTCCTATAATTCAGCCTCACCATAATAAATAGTTTATCATTATTTAACATCATTATTTAGTATTATTTAGCAATTACCATGAGTGATTGTGAAAAAGTAACGTACATAGGTATTGATGGTACAATTAAAGAATTTTGATAATTAAGAGATATATTTGACAAAAATAATACTACGTACTACTTTGATCCCTTTAACTTCGATTAAGAGGGAAAAGTGTGGTTATTATAAAAAGTGTCACTGATATTGAATTGGTAAAGTGTAAATAAATTATCAAGATAAGTTTGATAAGGTCAAAGTTATTTTTATGGTTGAATTGTTGGAATTTAGGATGTTTTTACTTGAACCGAAATTTGCTCGTTTGGTCTGGTCTGGGTCGTTTAACTCTGGTATGGTCTGGTCTGAACTGGCGTGGTATAATAAATGTTTGATCTTTGTGTATTTTATAACTATGGAAGTCCGGTCTTGTCTGTTTAAGACCGGTCTGATCTGTTTAAGTTCGATTGATTTTGTCTATATTTCATATAATTATTTCTTTATTTTTTGCCTCAAAATTATTTTAACCGTATGTTTTGTATACCTTAGCAGGTTCAACCAATTTACCGCTTCATCTGCTTAAGCCGATTAAGCCAATTTTACTATTACCGAATGGGTTATTATAAGTAAAATATCATGAACATTTTAATTTTTAATAATATTTTAAATTGTAAATGTTATTTATTTTTGTGCAAGTTACAAAAATTCTTGAAAGAAATGGTAGACCGATAAATCTATTTTTAAATTGTAGGCCTGAAAATTTTTGCAATGTAATTTTAATTTTTAAAATTGTAAATGTTTTTAATTTGACTGAAATTTTGTGATATGTTTAAATCTGATTTTGTTATAACTGTTAAAGTCTGATGTGGTCCAATATGTTTAAGTGTAATTAGGTTTCGTTTGGTTTGGTGTGTTTAAGTCTAGTTTCTTATGGTTTGTTCAAGTCTGGGACTTCCATGTTTTCCAAAATAGGTCTTCCATTTTTTTATTTTCTGAAGTAGGAGTAATTACTACCATGTTTTTGGAGTATGAAATTTTAAACATGCCTGACAGGATTTTCTAAACATGGCATTAGTTGCTCATATTTTGGGAATGAAACATGAAAGTCTTATTTTGACATTTTCTCACGGTTTTATTAATATTTGGGGAATTTTCCTTAAGCTTCTTCAAGGTAAAAAAGTATTAAAAATTACGATAACTAATCACTTTGTTGACCTAACATGTGATTCAAATGATGAATATATTTTAATCACATAAAAGTAAGTGTTACTTTTTTTAAAAATTTGTTTAAAGGTTATGTTCGAATTTATGATTAAGGATTGGACATGTAATTAAAGTTTAAAATAAATTTGATTGGGATTGCGATAAAATCAATGGGTCATAAAAAGTGTACACATTGTTTCCCATACTCTCGCTTTACCACTATGTGGTGAACTCCTGGGTTTCATGTAAAGAGGTAGTGGCAAATCGTTATGTGAATAGGCATTACCGTTTAATAATTTTAACAATAGGACCTATTTCCAAAGAAAAGTATAGAATCATTCAAAGGATCAAGTATATATGCTAGAAATCCAAATTTATTAGGACTAATATTAAAAGAGCATGTTCATGAAAAACATCATGAAGAGATACTTAAAAAAACATCATGAAGAGATGGTCATGGACCAACTATATATGCTACTTAATCCTAATTTTTTAAGAATGCAGAATGCTTTAAAGACGTCATTATAAAATCAGGAAGGTTGAACTTCATTCCATCTCTAGCTTGATGAACTTCTGTTTTTTGACACTTGAGCCTAGGCTGGATCCTGTTTCAGATCCTAGAGGATCACCTTCCAAAACTCGTTTTGAAATTGATGAGTGTGGAGTTGGGACATTTTCATTATCAACGGAGCTTGGAGTCTGAAAATTAAAAGTGGTTCAAATTTAGTCCTTGTACATTTACAAATCATTACATATGTAGGAATTGTATACGATCTCTAAAACACCAGGACATACCATGCTTGACTCCACCCCTATTGTGGAGTAGGAAAGCAGCTCTAGATCATCATCAGAATTATAGGCCTGTATATTGTTGCATTAGTCGGTAGTTAGAAATGCATTACTGACACATAATGCATAAAAAATAGTGAATACACTCACTCTGCTTGAAGTTATGGGAATACCTCGGATTGCAATACAACTGCAGCTTTCACATGCTCTATTTTCTCTCTATCCTCTGAGATCATGCCAATGGAGTAATACACACCGCCACTTGTGCGATTTTCATGTACCTTGTCTATTTTGAATATTAATTCCTTTCCAACCAGTTCTTTTATCTCTTCAGGAAGGCTCTTTGGTGCTAGCTTTTCCTAAATAAAGTATAACCAAATAATCCATTTAGATTTTTTGCACAGTAAACCTGCCTGAGAATGCCACACAGAATCCATTTAGATTTTTTTGCTAGTGTTGGTGATATGCTTGTGATACTATTAAGGTCTAAAGTCCATAAGACTTTAAAGGCCAAAGTCAAGGAAAAAAGTAAAGATCTTAGACTGCACAAACAAAAGGTGCGTTTTTCATAATCTTTTGATTTTTAAGTGAAGAGTGAAAATATATTCATATGGAGACCTGGGGTTGCAGCAAAGTATCTGAATGTATGTTTAAGCATTTGTAATTAAAACATTATGGAAACGCAATACCGTCTATGTAATATCTTTCTGAATAGCCTAAAAGGGAAATCAATATGTTTGCTTTGGACAAAATGTGTGTCCTGAATGTGCTGGGATGAGAGTGTGATGTGTGAAGATAGGTGGAAAGAATATGGACTAAAGTAACATGCATGAAGAAGCATACCGCATCTAGGTGGATGTTGAATTGCTGTGCTGCCTTTCCTAAGAGTCCTTGTGCCTCCAAATCCCAGAACATGAATTCAACGTTGTCACAATTATGGTTGACTCTCAACCTTAAGCTATATCGCCAAATACCTTTACAGATTTGTTTGTGACAGTTTACACAACGAAGTTTACCATTGTCTTTGACGACTTTCTTGAAACATCTAGGTTCATCACACCCCAAATAAGCCCATGTTTTCCAAGAAATAATGGAACTTATTTGGCCATATACCCAACAACCATGAACCTTGCATAAAACCAAAAAAAATACTCACTATAGAAAGCAGAATAGATAATAACAATAGGACCTGGAAAAGAATGTCTCCATAAATTAGTACTAAATTGGTAATAAATTACCTCTTTAACCGATGACAACTCAGAGAGTGGTATGGTAAGACCAATTTCAGCAGCAACATCGGCAGAGAGAACAGAGGATGATGATGATTGCGTTAAAGGCGATGGGAAAGAGCCTCTGGTGCTTAGAAAACTACAATGATTTAAGTATGTTAGCTCCCCAAAAAAATTGAGTAGACATGATATTTAGCATTTCAAGAAACTATTTACCTGCTTCGGAAATCCTCAATCTCAGGGATATGTTCATCCAATATTAACTTTGAAACATAAAAAGAGGTGGCTACTCCCTTAGTGCCATCTAAAAAGTAAAGAAGCAACGAAATGTAAGAAACCATATAGTATATCATTCCAGAGAGTGCAATTAAGAACCTTATTCCTAACACAACAACATTCCAGATTTAGTATTTCAATATTAAAAGTGATTATACACTGAATATATTGGAATTTGTGGTTGTATTTGCTTAACTGTAAATCACGAAGTTGAAAGCTGCACCAGGTTGAAGGGCCTTCGGATGCAGGGGGCTTCTTCACGGGCTCGGATGGATTGTATACCCCAATTATGTCTTCACACAATGAATTATAAATGTGACTTCAAAGTATTAAAGTTGAATGAATGATGCATTTCAGACATACAAAAGATGTATACTTACCGATTAGATCAGCACCGTCAATATCTGGAGAATTCATAACATCCTCAAAGCTGGTGAATTTATAAGTAGTGAGAGGAAACAATGGGTGTGTACCATTTGGCTGGGGCATAAACTTAGTCCTTTGATTAAAATAAAACCGATATGGATGTTGTGTTGGTCTCCACTTGCCCACATTCTCTCTTAGAGTGAAGTGCATAAAGGCATAAAGTCTCCCCTCTTCGATATGGTCTTCAAACAGTGGAATGTACTCTTGTGGCACAGTAGCTTGAATTCTTGTACCCTATGAATATTTGGTGTAGCAATAAGCAAACAATATTTTTTTAAAAACATCTCATGAACAAATGAGCGACTTTAGTGTATATTGATTTCACTTTATAGCTATAATAATGATTTCACTTTATAGCTATAATAATATGTCCATATGCTCATTAAACGTATAAATGTTTGGTTTAGAAATAAGCAGACAATATTTCTTTTAAAAATTACTTAAAAACAAATTAGCCACGGAAGTATATTTACTGATCCCACTGTATAGCTATAATAACCTGTTCATATACTCATTAAACCTATAAATGATTGGTTTAGCAATATGAAACAATATTTTTTAATAAAATAACTGCAAAACAATATTTTTGCAAAACAAATTAGCCACGGAAGTATATTTACTGATCTCACTGTATAGCTATAATAACCTGTTCATATACTCATTAAACCTATAAATGATTGGTTTAGCAATATGAAACAATATTTTTTAAAAAAATAACTGCAAAACAAATCAGCCACTAAAGTGTATATTGATTTGACTTTAGGGCTATAATAATCTGTCCATATGCCAATTAAGCTGATATTCACTCTAACTTCCTACGGAGTATCATTCAGCCTGAGCATTAGAAGGGGATGCCTTAAACTCCCCTTAAAATTACGATTAGAGAAACATTTAGAGGCCATATTATATGTGAATAAGCATTACCTCCTCGTCTATTAGAACAAATTCAATCGATCTGATGCCCAAGTCCCTGTTCTGGAATGGCAGAGACCATTTTCGTGCAACCCTACAGAAAAAAGCAGCTTTCTTCTCCATATCAAGTTTGACGGACGACAAATTCAATTTTAATGGAGCCATTCTTTTAGTATGAATACGATGGAAGAAGTATCGATTGTGTGGTGTGTGAAAAAAGAGCCAGGAATGTGCGTTTAAATAGAAGAACATTGAACTCGTATATGGTAATTCACAGTAGAGAAGATGAGGAATTGAAGCGGTGTATCGTTGATTACCTTCCCAAGTGCGGATTTGCAGCCGTTTCGCTTCTTTACAGAAGCACATCGAAGATTTTGATGCTGATTATCAGGGGGGAATGGAGATTCACGCTCAGTTCAGTTTACTTCTAGTGTGAAAGGAGTGAATAAGCGAGGAATTAGGGATTGGATTGCTTCCGGTGACCGTGAAACGTGCGAGGAATTAGCGATTATATTTCTAGGAGAGAAGAACGATTTAATAGGTTAAGTGAGAGAGGCGGGAACTTCTAAGGGAGAGGATTCTCCCTTTAGATATATAGGATATGACATTTAGGGCTACCACATTAGTAAGTCATTCCATTATTCTCATAGAAACAACTTCACTTTATTATAAACCCCAATTCTAATAATAATAATAGTAGTAATAATAATTAATATAGTAATAATAATAACAATCCTTGTTTTCTTGTTTAATTTTAGGAGGGATTTGACTTTACACCATACGTTTTGAGTGATTTTAGACTTTCCATCCCATTTCCCTCAGAATTATTAACGTGTGCAACCTGTTTAATATAAATTATTTGACTTTGCATCCTCATTCTTTTATTATTTCTGAATCGATGGGGTGCATATATTAATGACTATGAAAATAGGATGTAAAGTCCAATATAGCTCAAAAGGTGGGTTAAAAAATCAATTTTTCCCTTAATTTTATATGCGCATCTCCATATATATACGTGATTTATGATTTAATTAAAAGTTGGTATACACGTGGTTGTTCACATAACAATATGTTTCACCTACAGTCAATATATTAAAAAATAACATGTGTATCACATCTTTATTTTCTTAAGAAAGAATCAAACAAAATTGAATAAGAAAACAAGAATTCTTGTTGTCGTCACCATCATTATTATCATCATCATTATTGGACGGGGGTTTATAATAAAATGCATAACACAAAAAGTTATTTCTAATCAATTTTTTTAATCTTTTAATTTCCTTAAGGTGAGTTACTTACTTTCTATCTTTCAGCTCTCATTAGAGCCTCAGAGGTTGTATTGTTGTAATATGTTCTTGATGGTATCATGGATTACAGTCATGACCCAATTACAGAATTACAATAAAAACACATAAACGGAATCAAGCCCTTAACGGGATCAGCCTATAAACGAGATCGATATTAATTAGCCAATGGGCCTAATTAGGGATGATACCCGCGAAAGGAACCCACAATCAGGCCAGGCTGGACAACAGACCTCGAGCCTGGGCAGAGTTCTAGTGAAGTCGGAATCTTCCTAGGGCTTACGTGCCAGGCTATCATTCGCGCATAGCTATCTGGTAGCAGGCTGGAATAAACGGAAGAACGTGAACTTAAAGGAGATAATCATTGTACAACGTTCAAGACGTTACATGAGTCTATTTGAACATTTACGCTGCCTAAATTTCATCTGCTCTCGTAGTTGGATTAAACTCCATCAGTTCTCAAACATTTTTTCAAATAAAACATATTGCGTCATATTTAAGTCTTTTGCCCTACCGTATTAACTATTAAGTGCTTTTTTTCGTGGGTTAGAAATACTCTATGATGTCCATATGACGTCTCTTAGACGTGTACATTTCAACGGAGTACTAAGTACAAACATAATGTTTTTGATTCTATTAAAAAAACATACTCCGTAATGTTTTTGATTCTATGACTCTACGCCATATTGACGGCGAGTATAAAATAAAGCAAAACTATTTGAAATTTCAACTATCATCGTGGTGTCTTCAGCGTGTGCTCGTATAATTACATCAAGATCAATTTTAAACTTTTAAAACAACAAGTGAAGCCTAGTCGTGAAAATACTTTTGAGATTTTTATTTATAATTACAGTTTTATATAATGAAATATGAAGGAAAAGAATAAATATCTAAAAAATATTATACAAGATTAAACGTAATCTTTACTTTGTTCGATACATATAATATTTAAATGTATAAAAAGTTTAAATACAAAATGATATACGGAGTACATAATATATATTATTGCGCTTTCCTAGTCGTAAATACAAAATCCATATATAATAATATGTTTATAAATGTGAATTTTATTTACAAAAACTATTATCCAAAAAAAATTATATCGTTAATAAAGCAAATGGATCAATTAAAGAAGATATTTTAATTGGATCGAATTTTTTAGAGTGGTCTCGTTTGTTTAAGTGGAATCTGATGTAGTATATGTTCTGATTTGATCGGTGTAAGCCTATTTTGATCTCATCTGGTGCGATAGTGAAACTGATCCGATTGAAAACGTCATATATATTACTCGTATATTGATAATAGATGATACTGTACAAAGTTGTTGAATATTTTATGTGAAAATATATGACAGTATTACTCACTTTGCATATTTTATTTGCATAAAATTAAAAAAAAACATTGACTGCGTTCTTAATATAATATTTTACCTTTCTGAAACAGGAATTATTGTACGAAGTAATAGTTTAATACAATATTTCAATGTAAAAACTATTAAATTTAATTTAATAAAGTCAACAAAATCGAAATTCATTTTCAATAAAGTTTAACGTATTATTGAAAAATGATTTTTATAAATTATTGATAATTTGTTTAAGTAAAATGGGCATGATATCATGTGATCGTCAACATGACATCATATTTGGTTTGCTCATTTCCACCTCCTACTCCATGGGCCATATCCATGTTTTGGAAAAACAATTATTATTTTCATTACAATAATTAATATATACGGAGTATATATATAATTAAAGTTATTTAAAAAATTGAGTTAATTGATTTTTAGGGAAAATTACATAAATGGTACATGTGGTTTGAGTCGTTTTCAAATAGGGGCATGCGTTTTATTTTTTTTTAACAAAGTGAGCCATGTGTTTTAATTTCATTATTATAGGTGGGGCATGGCGTTTAACGTCGTTAGAAAAATTAACTCAGATTTCTGAAAGTCTTTAAAAAATAAAAGAAAAATATTAGGAGGTGCGCCTCGTCAAGAAGACCTCCAGACCATCTTTCTTTTCCTGTGTTTCAGCCACAACTGTCGCCAGAAAGTCCACCGGAAAAGTGATATTAGCGAATTCGATTTTAAAAAATAATCCAAATAGAGTCGAAAAATCTAAAGAGAACGATAGTTTGTTGGTCTCCTTGACGAGGCACACCTCCCAGTATTTTCTTTTAATATTCCGAAGACTTCGGAAAATCAGAGTTAATTTTTATAACGACGTTAGACGTCATGCCCCAGCTGTGATAACTGAATTAAAACACATGTCCCACTTTGTTAAAAAATGAAACACATGCGCCTATCTGAAAACGGTCCAAACCACATGTACCTTTTATGTATTTTCCCCTAATTTATATTGTATTTTTTCATATGAAAGTTAAATTTGTTCAAGTTTTATGGACGAAATGATTATGAGGAAATTTGAGTTTTACACCCCATTTTATTGTCCAAATTAGACTTTGCATCCCATTTTTAAAAAAATTGTTTGTGCACTCCAACTCCATATGAAAAGACAAAAATGTTCCTTCATTAACAATTTTGTTGACTTTCAATATATTCCTGATTGAGGGCATTTTTTGTTTTTTATATGAGATTGGGTGCAAAAACATTTTTTTTAAAACGGGGTACAAACTCCATTAACAATTTTGTTCCCCAATGATTATTTATACTTCATATTAGATTACTAGTGTATTACTCCCTCGGTCCAAAATTGAGTTGTAAAATTTGCATTTTTTGAGTCAAGTAGATTCATTTAATTAAATTGAGTTGTAAATTTCGATCACTTAATTAAGATATCAATTAATTAAATTTTAATTTGAGTTTTATGAGATTTCGAATTTGGCACTAACGAGGTGAGGAGTAATTTTGTATTCGACTTGAAAAATTGCAGGAAAGTGATTACGTCCATGCGTACGACAAGACGCATCCCCATAACATTAATTTTACTGCTTTTCAACGCGGCGAAGGAGACGCGAAGTTAGACCATTTGTAGTGGTGGGGAGGCTAAATTGTTAAATTTAGACTCCGTCCATATGAAAACAGTGTTTAGACTCCGTCAATACTGTTTTTTCCCGCATCCGTGCACCGTCAATAAAATACACTCTACATATTTTTTTACCTACCAATTTAGTAAAACCTTAATTTAATTATTATAAAAAGTATTTTCCTTTTAATATTTTACCTAGATAATTATGAAGTAAAAAATACGCATTTCGATGTAAAAAAAATCACTAACTTTTTTAAACGATTTTTTGGTTAACAAAAAAGAACTTAGTTAAAATAAAATTCGATTATGGAATATTCACTTATTATTTGTGAAGGCTTAATGAATTAAAAATTCGTGTTTCGTGCTTTTTTGGGTTCACCAAAACTTCAACAGTTAAAATTAATTTTTTTTTTCGTTGTATGTATTACATATTGGTGTCATATGAAAGATCATAAAAAATCATGAATTTTGATATATTTTTTGAAGAATTTGGAGAAAATATAAAAAAGTTATAAGAGTTTAAAATAAAATGGGATTTTAATGACGTAAGCGTGACATCAGCATGACCAGGGCCGGCCCTGGGCATGTCTGCCAAGTGCGACCGCACAGGGCCCGGATTTTTGAAGGGCCCAAAAAAATATTTTAATATTATACCCCAGCCCAAAATCCCCTGTATAAATCTAAATATGCTTGAAGAATATCTCTTTTTAAATAAATTGTAAGTTATTAATGACTATTTTTATTATTATGTTTATTCGTAAGTTGTATTTTAATCCCGCACAGGGTCTACATTTCTTTGGGACCAGCCCTGAGCATGACGTCAGCAGAACGCATCAACAACGCGCAGCAGCGGCCGCTTTTCTTCTTTTTTTTCTTTTTCCTTTTCTTTTCCCCTGTCAACCCAACCCTCTATTTTTAGCCTCCTCCACTCCCCTTCCCACTTTTACTCCCACTTTTAATCTCCCACTACACTCAATTAAGAGTCTAAAAATTCCATATTTAATTTTTTGACTCCTAATCTGTAACCACTACAAATGGTCTTATATTCCAAACTTCAATTTTGCATCTCTTTTCACGCCCTGTTGCTGTGTTACGGATGCATATATAAACGCCACGCTCGTTCACAATTTCATACAGAATCACAAATCAGCTCTCCTTTTTATATTCTATTCTATTTTTTACAGTTTTCCTGAACTTGAATTGGATTTTGGTGTCGTGGCATGATGGGAAGTTCAATGGCGGAGAAGAAAAAGGTGGTGATTGTTGGCGGAGGAGCTGGCGGCTCTCTTCTTGCATAT